ACATCGAAGGATCTGAACATTTTCTTTGCAATACAGGTCATCAAATTTTTGAATATTTAGATATACCCATCGTACAAATGGAATGGCAATATATTCAAAGATACGAAGATAGAGGAAATATAGTTCTTGACTTCTTCATAAAACATGGTTACGTTCCAACTCAAGACATGTGCCGAAAGATTGAACTGGCACAAGCTTTTGATTCGTGGCCATTTGAAATATACTGGATAAAATTTAACTCGTCCAATATATGTTAAATGTGACGATAATAAAAGAACAAAGGATATAGTGACCTTAATCGCTATACCTGTAGTACTCAAGAAATATTATATAGGCATTATTCGAAAGGAAGAAAATGAGATTTCATTTCAATTCATGCCACTAATGATTATAAATGCTCACGTAGACTTCACAAGAATTGAGAGCGTGGGTATGCATGAATGTATAGTAGAAATTATATGGATATCCTTACTTACATCTGACCACCAACACCCACCTAGGGTGTGTGGGTGGTTGTATTAGTTTGAGATAAATATAATAATAACACATATCTTCAATTAGCTATATCATGTATCACTTACTACTTCTTAAACGATGGTATTTAGTTATTTTGATTTTGACTTCAAATAATCAGCAGTCCAGTTTAGGCATGAAATTATTTACAACTAATATCTAATAATTTCAGTCATTAACTATCTTCTTTCTGATATTTTTCTTCTCAAAAAAAGAAAGCATTCATTTTAAATAAATATTCGATGCGTACTGGTGCTATCTAAACTGACAAGTAACGTTTATCGAAAATCGAGTCACTTGGCCCTAGGTTGTCGCAATCTGCATGCGGATATGACTGTATTTAGATGTGAATAAGAATTGATCGATATTAGTTTCGACTTTCAGCAGGAAATTAAATTGAATTTTGACTTCATATAAAATCAAGCATTTTCTAAAAGTTTCTTATTTGACGAATGAATAATAAAGTTTAAAAAGGCTTTAGCTTTATTAAAATCAATTTAATAAAAAGTAAGGTTTCAAAAAACAATTACAGTATAGATCTCTCTATCATTGTATATCAAAATTGATTTTGAACTCTTTTTTCTATATGCATTATGACAAGATAATTAAACATAACAAGTTTATCTAAAATATTTTACAATAAAACAACTAGTAAAATTTTGAAATTACAATGCATAGTTTTTGGAGCTTCTAATCTGGCACTTTACTTTTGTGATTTGTGGTACAAGATGTCTGATGATATCGTCGTTTTTTTTTCATGCATATGTTAAAAATATTTATTGATGATCATGAACGGCATGCTATATAAAAACAGATAAACATTTTTTTTCAAACCGTTATAGTATTCAGTGTATACGAATGTTCCGTTTTTTTGTTGTTAATATTATTTTCATCTCCATCCATATTCAAAATAAAATTGACGTCACGTTATTATTTAAATTTATTCAATAAATTAATGATTTATATATAATTAAGAAATATTTCAAATTTTATTCTATTCAAATAAAACAATATTAACAAATAAAAATTATATTACCGAAAATATGTCATAGTTACGTGGTCATTTGTGCTAAAAAAATGATCAGATGTGCCTTGTTATCGACAAAACTAATACTTGTAAATAGATCAATTCTCGTTTCTAGACCCTATCCTTACAGTCTAGGAAATCTCTTGAAAAAGGTAGAATATTGATAAGAAAACCAACAGGCAAGAAGAAACATACGTGAATGACCATATTGTTTTGAGCAAGATTCAACCAGATACATAATGACCACATTTTAATTTCATCTTATACAAAAACTGTTTTGACTACTGACAAGCTAAAATAATTGATGAGAAAATGAGATATGAAATGGTGACATACGTTCAATAAATAGCAAAATCTTTTTATTTTCTTCAAACTGTTTAGAATGTTATTGAATTTATGTGTAATTTTGAACTGTAGTTTATAAGACAATACACTTAGATTTGAAAATCTTTTTCAATTTTAGAAAATTCTACTGAATATAGTAACATCATTCTCTCTTCATCTCAATCGAATAAGTTCAATAATTAAATCAGTGACAAAAAACTTTTTAAAGTATGTAAACTTGGCACAAAAGTTTGATTATGAAATATTAATATTATCTGAATGAGTTACTGGTTTGAGATCATTTTTTTTTTCAAATTGACATGTATATTCATTTACTATAAAAATATGGTTTAAATGATTGAGAAATCTGAATTGTGACTAACGTCAAATGCTGATTATATATCATATTCCTAGAATGTCATATTTTAATGTTGTTCTATAGAATTTATTAATATGTTTTATTTCGTAGATATATAATGGTTAACGGTTTATAATGGAAATACATTACAATAAACGATGAAAAACGCATTAAAAATACTGATATAAGGCGTTTTATTTAACAAAAATATCCATTTCAGTTTCGTCTAATAATTTTCCTTTTTTTCGCCATTTCTCGAGTTCATTAGGCCATATGCGAGATAATCCACCTCCATAACCAGCATAATGTACCACCATATCTCCATTTTGATATTGGACACGATGTGTTTCATTTTTCCTACAAGGTGTGCCTGGAAATGAGTTTGCAAGTCTCATTGGAAAAATGTGGACCTGTCTTTTCCAATCGTCGTTGTTCGAATATAACCAGAACATTACATCTTGTTCCTCATTTGTATAATGCCTCGTCCAATATTGATGCTCATAAACTTTTCGCATAGCATTTTTTGACCATTGACTATTTCGGATTAGAAATGCTAAATAAAAACATCAATTAATTTGATAAACAAGTATACAAGGGGGAAAAAGCGAGACTTCATCTACTTCAAAATGTTTTTGAAGTACAGTGAAGTACTAGTGAAGTACGCACTCCTGAAGTCTCGCTTTTCCCCCCTTGCAAGTATATCAATCAAATCCCTACGGTCAGAAGATGAAGCGCTTTGTTTTCAACGAGAATGAACCACAATGATTGGCTAGGATAAGAAGGAGCTCAAAAACTCTTGTCTGTTGTGCTTTTGACTATGAGAAGGAGAATGCAGGTCATTTTCTCGGCATCAGTTATTACAGGTTTTTTTCTCTATCGTCTTGAGAAAGGTGTACATAATGATCAATTGTGTAAAATGAAACGTTTACTTACATCCAGTATTGAAACT